GCATGTGCCCCCCAGATTTTTGTGCAAGGTGGAAGCAGGCTGCCTGCTGCAGGCTGAGGCTCTGTGCCCTGCTGCCTTTGTCCCATGAGCTGTGTGACACCATGTTGTGCCTCCTGCTGTCAGGTGGGCAAGGGACACACTGTGTGGCTAACACATGGCTCCTGGGGCAAAAGCAGCAGGACACAGGGCCCCAGCCCAGAGCCCACTTCCAAGCTACACAGAAATACAGGGGCACATGCCTCCCATGCCTGACCCAGGGGTGCACGTAGTGGCAGGGAGCTATGTCCCCCCTGCACCCCGGACAAGCCTCCTGCAGCTCCACTGTATGACCCACCCTTGCCCCAGGGCCCCATTCACCCCAGGGCCTCTCCCTGCCCCACTCTCTCCCTCACTGTGGGGGCCTCAATCTGCCCCCAGCCTCTTCCCTCTCCTTCCCCTTCACTCCACAGACATACCAGCTCTGTCTCTGTGTGTGTTTGAGTGTGCACGCACATTGAGTGCATCTTCTCCTCACTCCCAAGCCACAGCCCACCCATCTGACACCATGTGGCATGGAGGGTAGGCAAGGGAGGGAACTGAGTCCCCTTCCCTGGCCACCCCTGTGAGGGTGTGCAGAGTGGGTGGGGGAGAGGCCAAGAGGCTGGCAATCCAGCTCCATGGGGCTGCGAATGGCACAGACCTGCTCCCAGTGCAGTGCAGTACTCAGCCCCATTCCTGTCTGCTAGTGTCAGCCAAGCCAGGCAGTGCAGTGAGGGGGAAGGGGGGAGGGAGGAGTGGAGACAGAATCATAGAAAATTACAGTTGAAAGGGATCTCAGGAGGTCATCGGGTTCAACCTTCTGCTCAAAGCAGGATCATCCTCAACTAGATCATCCCCAGCTAGATTATCCCAGCCAAGGCTTAAATATCTTCCCAGCTGGGTCTTAAAAACCTATCAGGGTGGAGAGTCCATAACCTCTCTGGGTAACTTGTTACAGTGTTTTACTACCCCCCTAGTGAGAGAGCTTTTTGTAGTATCTAATCTAAACTTCCTTTGTTGCAATTTGAACTACTGCTCCTTGCTCTGGAATCTGTGCGTGCTTGTACACATGATAAAACTGGCCTTTCAAGCAACTTAGTTGCCCTTTTGCATCGCTTTAATGGCATTACTGTTTACACCTGCGGTGGTGTATTTCACTTTAATTTCGTCATGATGTACACGTGTGGCAGTGTATTTTGCTTTAAGTGACCTTGTTACAAAGCAAGGTAAAACCCATCCATTGTATTTTAGTTTCCTAGGTAACAAAATGCAATGGTGCACGGGGCACTGGAAGCCCAGATGTGCTTGGGGAAGCTTGTGCGTGGCAGGCTTCCAGTGCCCCATGCGCCTTCTCCTGCCACGAGCACACCCAGCTGCCCTCCAGCAAACCAGCCTGTTCCTGGGCAGTCCCAAGTCGCTGAAACAGTGCATGGGGCTCTGGAGCCTACCTGCCTCCCCTGTGGCCAGGGGGGTGAGCTGCTGGTCGGCTAACCAGCCCCTGAGCTGTTGAGGACCCCAGACCTTTCCTTCACAACAGCAGCAGCACCCCCGAGATGGCACCTGCATGCTAGCAACCCATCTGGGTGATCCAAGCAGGCACTGCTACCACGGAGGGAAGCACTGGGCCCCATGCAGCTCAGGGGCTGTGCAACCTGGTGGTAGCTCATACGGACAGGCTCCACTGAGAAAAAAAACAAAAAAAAAAGCAGCAAGAGGCCATGATCTTTTTCTTTTTTTCTCCTGGAGCCTGCCTACCGCTCCTGCAGCTGTGGGGTGAGCTGCTGGTCAGCTCTGAGCGCTACGGGGGCAGGGGAAAGGGGACAGAGGCCTGGTCCTTCCCTCCATGGCAGCAGTACTCTGTGGGCAGCACCCACCTGCTAGCAGTCCACCTGGGTGGTCCTAGGACACCACCACTGTGGAGGGAAGAACTAGGGCCCCCCACAGCTCAGGGACTGCTCAGCCTGCCTGCAGCTCATCTCCCAGCCATGGGAAATGTGGGCAGGCTCCAGAACGGGGGGGGAAAACAGTAAGGGGCCCAATCCTTCCCCCCCAGAGCCTGCCCACCTGTCCTGCAGCTGGAGGGCAAGCTGCCAGTGGGCTGAACAGTCCCTGAGCTGCTGGAAGCCTCAGTTCTTCCCTCTGGGCCTTTCAGTAGATGGGTGCTGCCCAGAGGGGCACCACCGCCATGGAGGAAAGGACCAGCCCCCACCCCCCCAGCTCAGGGTCCACTGGCAGCTTGCCCCCCGGACACAGGAGAGGCGGGCAACCTCTGGGGAAAAAAAAAGAAAGAAAGAATCAGGCCTCTCACTGTTTCTGGTTGAACCTGCTCATGGCGGGGGGGAAGGCAGATGAGCTGATGGGGGCCATCACTATGATATGACAGAAGTCCCTAAATTGAAACAGTCTGTTTTTAAATTGACACTTAAAAACCCACAAAGTAAAAACCTACCGCTTCAATTTAGGGAGAATGAAACCCCTGTCATGTGTACAAACAGCCATTGAGAACAGTGTAGCTTCTATGTCAGTGAGATAAGATGCTACAGCCCTTGGTGGTCTCATGCTCCCAGTCCAGCTATGGTGCCAGCTGTGTAGGGGGGGTGGGGAGGGGGAAGAGAGAGAGAGAGAGAGAGAGAGAGAG